TTGCTAAATGTGACTGATGGTCAGGGGAAAAATAAAATAAGATTATACAATTTATAATGCAGCTATGTGCAGAATAAAAAGAGTCTAAAATTATGCTTCTGTCTTCTCATGTTGATATTTTTGAATGCGAATGATTTAAGAACTTGCTTCTATATGCTTTTGGTGTATTGCCTGTGTTTCTTAATGCTACATCCATAAAAGTGTAACACTCGCATCACATCTGCACATTTGCTGCTTCTGTTTTCCACTGTGTGTAATAGAAAGTTGTAAATGAAATATGTAGATCTTGGCACCAGCTAATGCACCCTGTATAATATAGAACAGTATAATATGCAGTGGCTGTATTTTAGAGAGTCTGCTGCTGAAAGTTAGAGCCTATAGCTGAGCTCTGGAAAATTAGACTTCCCATAGTAACACATTCATTTACTGTATCTCCAAGGCTTCTACAGTATTTATAAGCGTCTGTGCTCCTTATTCTCGACAGAGCTGCCATTCAGTTCAATTTATTGTTGTCATTCTATTTGTACAGAGCTATAAGATAACCTATATACAGCATGAGTACTGTCCAAACAAATTAAGAAATACTATAACTGACACAGTTGAGTCATAACGTGCGTACAGAATATTGTTCTGTGCCTCGTGCTCCCTCTGCATTGAGATTAATAACTCCTAAAGGTCCTGAACATTCCTATACATCACACATACACTATGTTTCTCATACAGTCTCTATGTAGTGCCTGTTGTAACATTCAATTTGATTGCCTCTGCCAAGGACTCTATCACGTTTGTGAGCAGGATTAAGCAAAAACTATTCAACTGATTTCCATGACATTTTGTGGAGGGGGTGGGGCATGACCCAAGGAAGAAACCAATTTTTTTCAATTTTGATGCAGATTAAGATCAGGGGACCATTCTAGGATAATTTATTTGATTATATTTCTTTATTTAACATTGAGAGAGAGAGGTTTTTCCACACTTTTGTTTATTGTTTATCCTGCTGCAGATGCAAAATCTGGATTCACTGAGTTTCCTCAAAGGACTGTTGGGCCTTGGCAGATACACTGTACATTCTATTTGCCATAGAGACATATTAAGAATAACCTAAGTAATATGAAATATTATGTGTAACAAGAAAGAGGACAATTAATTGGTCAGTATGGCTGTTATCAGGACAGATTTTAGCAATTTCAATGATTAGATTTCTATTCCCTCTTTCAATCACCTGCACCTTGCTACAAGCAAGATGATTATTCTCAGCTGCCTGCATTCTTCGCACCTGATTTGCTTTTCCAACACATCTCCCATTAGTGAAGTCTCAGGTGATATGACACTTCCTGACACACATTTGGCCACTCATGGGGGCTGACATTCAGGTTGAGGGTAGGATGTGGTGAAATATAATGTGTAATCAGGCAGTTGTTGCACGTGGGCTGTCAAGAGGGCATCAGGTGTGAAAAGGTTCCTCGCCTGTCTGAGCCGCTCCTTCACTCCTCATTAGTGACCTTGCAGGTTGTCCAACAACGAGTGCTAAAACAATTTGGCCCCTCTGCTATTGTGATCCAGTTTTCGTCATATCATTCAGGTCCTTTTAATGTGACCCTAAGTGACTGTCAACACGGCGCTGTGAGCAACACATTAGAGATGTGTGATTTGACATAATGGCAACAGGGAAGCAACAGGGACCAAGTGTAATCAACGGCCAAACTCTTAAAAGCTAATTGGGGGAATTTTATCAAACCACAGCAGCTGTGCTTTGATGTTTTAGTCTGTGCTTTGCAGTGTGGAGTTTTTTTAGAGCTCTGTGGTCAAAGTTTGTTGTTGGTGTGGCAGCTGGGTCTGTACTTATGGTTCTGATAATCGTTCAATGAGGGAATTAGACATAAAAGTTTCATAAAATCAAAGCTTTGTCTAATGATGTTAGCAGTGAGCTGTTTCCCCTGTTTCTAGGCTTTGTGCCGAGTTTAACCGGCTGCCGACTTCCGAGTCATATTTACAAAACAGAAAAGAGAGAGGTTTCTCATCTAATCTTAGTATGAAAGCAAATTATTTCCCAAAATGTTGAACTATTCATTAAAAAAAAGAGACATCACATTAGGAGTGTTTATATACGTCTGTTTTAATCTCTCTGTGTTGATCTCACTAGCAGATGGTACATGGCCATAAACAAGAGACTTAAGTGCCTCAATATTGAATATCGTGCAGGTAGCATATGGTATGTAGAGATAACCACATGCTCTTTACATAAATGCACCATGGAGGAGCAAAATGTACTCACTCTTTGCTTAAGAACCGGAGTGACTTAAGCCATTTCAGACACATACTCCGGATAACGTGCAGAAAATTGGTTTGGGCATTTTCCTTTCACATATGAAGAATGAAGCAGAAGCTTGTCGGGGACATATCACATCAACAAGGAAATAACAAACATTAATGGCACATGGGTAGACGGGTGTTGGCCTCCATCGTAAAAACCTCAAATCTCGTCTTTCCATATCGTCATCCTAAGCGTCTACATGCACAGCACCAGTCTTTTTGTTTTTTCAGTTTTGCATGTGATGCATGTTTTTTTGCAATTGCAATACATTATCAAGAAATTTTTTTTAGAATAAAATCCAGAAAATAGAAACTGACGTGTGTTCTCATGTACAGCCCCTCAAATATACTAATTTAGTAGCTTGTAGGAGCTTTCATCATCTCACCTTAAAGTACTTCTTATACTTTTAAAGTCTTGCAAATAAGTTTTGGGTTTAAATGTTGTTGCTCCTCTCTGGGTCTTTGTTTAATTTTCCTCTTATGTGGCTGATGCTCCATATATAGATCCATCTGTCTGAACTAAAATAGTATATCAGATAATTGTGTTGGCATTCCTATGCAGCCAGTTTGTTAACATAATTTGCTAAATGGATTCAGTAAGCAGTGGATCAATTCCTCAGACAGAGGTTCCCTCTGCCAAGAACCACACAATAGACAATTGTGCGTACAAATACTTATACATTCATACCTATATAATTCACTTGGCTTCTCTGAATGAGTCCTTGCACATATTTTTGGAGCGCTCAGTAAAGCTGCAGGAGAGAAGAATTTGAACAGGGCTTGGCAGCACCAGGTGTTTTCTGGTTTCTCTGTTGGAAGCTCAGCGTTAATATCCATTAAGCAGCCACAACTAAAGCCACTTTTCCTATGGTCCCATAGCTCTCTGGATTCCAGCACTGCAGCGTTGTCATTACACACCATTAACCCCCCAAAGAGCAACAAGGTGTCAGAGGTAATAGGCATATTCAATCAGAACCTATAGAACCATCACTGATTGTTTGCCTTAAAAAGAACAACTGTCAAAATGTACTTTGAGAATTGATCTATAATGTGTCAATTTCTGGTTGAGTTAGTCAATGCAATCAGTCAGTGTGATGGTGTTGAATGTGTTGTCCGGAGTGGTCCTCTTGCAGCAGTGTGACAGTGATCTAAATGTTACCCTTTGTGGTTGTAACCACTGCTGATTGACCGTTTCATTATTTATGTGTCATTCATATATATATGAGCACTGAGATTAGCAGGGAAAATAGTTGGAGAGAAATAAATGAAGCAGGCCGTTTCCCTGCAACATAATTTTTTAAACTGAAAGGCTTTTCCAGAATATTTCTTCTCATTATTTGACTGCATTCGTAATGAACCCGACAAATGCAAGACCATCACTCTCTGTTTAGCGTCATAGACCGTATGTTGGACAACATGCTTGTTTCCCAAAAGTGTCTCATCTGCACTATGAATCCCACCTCCTCCATGTTAATGGATAAATCTTTCTCAAATTGTTTTTGTCACACTTATGTTTGTCCATGTGCTTATTTCATAGCAAATTTATTTTTATTAACTTATTTGATATTACAAAAAAAATGGTGTGAAACGTCATGATTGACAGCTGAATCTGACTAGTGATAGGCCCTCGCTGCAGTGGCTCCATACCCTCATCACTACTGCGCAGACTGGCTCTAATGAACAACGTGGTGTATGTATCCTGGGTATTTTAACTTCATTTCTGGCTAATGAGAGAGACGTGTTGTCCATCAGTATGTAGCCTACAGTTTGTGGTTTATCTCTATTTTTATCTCCTGAGAAAATAATCTGGCTCCTAGCGCCAAGCTCGTATTAGCAGCTAGCTAACACCAGCTATCTGCTAACTTAGACGGCTGTGTTTGGTCCCAGCTGCTAGCATAGCCTGCAATTTTGTGACTTTAATTTGGGGTTTGGTAAATCTGGTAAACCCAGTAATGTATCTTTATGGCTTACTAAAATCTTGAGGGCTTTATAAAGTGAGGATATGGAGCAGCAGCGATTGTGAATACTAGCATATGCCCAAAAACAAGCCAGTCCTCAGTGTTCCTACCAGATAAAGGAAAAGATGGCTTCATAAAATGACTCCTTGTGTCATTCCCCCCTCTTCCAAATTGCACCATTAAGCACAGCACTGGCAGTATTATAGGATTATTTGTTCTGAGAGATATGTTACAGCATATATCTAATCAGTTCTGATTCTCAGAGAACTGGTTATAATTTAAACTGACTCAGGAGACAGTGTTCTGTTGGGCCATTGGCCAATTGCTTCAGAGGGTTGGCTCATCACACTCATACAGAGATTTAATATATAACTAGATACACCCTCTGGATATATGAAGTTTATAACATATATGAAATAAATATAGTAAAAATTGTACATACAATTTAAAATAGATGTGATTTTTACATGGTAGTCTATTATATGTTTTCACTATATATGTTAATGATATATATTACATTTCTGTATGAGACGTTTATTAAAACAACATGCATACAACCATTTGATCATCTTGTATATATTTTTCTCTATTTTTAACATATATGTCTGCCTTTAATATTAACATATATAATATGAACTTAAATCGGAGATATGTTCATTATTATCATCTGTCTCTCACATTTTCTTTCCCTCCTTTCTGTATCATCTCTTCTCCCTTTTCTTCCTGTAGCACTATGCTGAGATCCCGGGCAGCCTTCCCACAATGCTGGAACTGGGCTCCTATTCGGTTGGCGCTCAGTCTCTGACAGGGGATCACAATGATTTAGGGCTACCAAGAGTGCCAGGAAGGCCAGACTGTCCAGTGGGGGGTCTGGGCATGGGGGCGATTCGTGGTAGCAGTACCCCGAGACACCATATCCTCCACCCATCCCCATCGGATTGTGAGAGCTGGCAGAAGCATCGTGCCGGACTGGCCAGAGGGTCAAGTCTGTATTCAGAGTCCCACTCTCTCCTGGAGCCCCAAAGTCTCTCAACCAGCTATGACACACTTTATCTCCCACATATGTCTGGAAACCCAACCCCTCTGCACCCAAACCGTCTGGGACTCTCTCTTGATGTGGCTTCAACTTTTGACGTTGGAGGGGGGATGCTGGGGGTGGATGGAGATTTGGCGTTGAGTCCCAATGTGATCAAGAGACGTCGGGGTGGCCTGATCGAGCAGAGGGACATTGTAAAGGCCCACCAGGCTCATAAGATACAGAGCACACCACAGGCACGACGCAAGGAGTGGGAGTAAGTATGAATCTAATACAGCACCCTGACATGCTCTATCTTTTAATTACATTAGGTATCCTTATAAGCTATACATCACCTAGTTTTCTTAGGGCTATGCTCTGAAATAAGTTAACCTTAGAATTGGGATTTACTAACAGATGCTGCAATAATATCTAATATAATATAAATGTGATAATAACAATAATATCTTTAGCCTCTGTAAATATGATACGATCAGGAAATGGTGCAAATAAATGTTGCACATTTATGATGCACTTCCAGTTTATACTACAAGAAATTAAAATATACAGAGGATATAAATTCTGATGTAACAAACTGTTAGATCTATACTATTCATCACTTCCTGTGACAAATGTAAAATCCATGAGGATGGCCACACTCTGGATAACCCTTAATTTAATGACATTCAGCATATTAACAAATCTACAGTACACATATTGTGAAGTAGCAAAGGTTCTCAGTTATTTGAGTTAAAATATAAATTCAAGTGTAATTAAAACTACAGTCAACACCTGCCATCAGATTTATGTCTTTAGGGTACAATGAGAAAGAAGGATGCAAGTATAATATGTAGTATATATTGACAGGAATTTGACCTGTAAAGCTGCTCAAAAACATGTAGTGCATGGGTTTGTGTATGTTCACTGCAGCGTTTTATATAATGGATTGTAGGTTTGAATGTACTTATTCATAAGTTGTCTTATATAAGTCTGTGTAGATCCAGCAGCTCTCCAGTTAACATTTTTATATGGTATGTCTCTTATCGGTTTACACTTTGGTGTTTATCCCAGTGCTGGTTCCTTGTTATTTTTGCTGGTAGGTGGCAGAGCACAGACATGCTGTTGCTTCATATTTACCTTACAGATATGAGCTTGCTATAACATTTCTCATCTAACTTTTTGACCAAGAGAAACTAATTCCCACAATTTTCAAACCTTAGCCATAAGTGCTTGTTTTGCTGGAATGGTAAATATTTCAGTCTAAGCGATTGCTGTTAATGTTTCTTATCAGCAGCTGGTTATAGATTTTGTGATGGAGTTTGAGAAAAGTCTTAACAAGGTGAGAGTATTCAGCAGGATGTTGTATTTTCAGCTATAAAAGACTTTCAGATAACAGTTGAAGTACCAGTCTAATGCTCATTCAATCAACATTCATCACCCATAAATTATATATGAGTAGGTGCGCTTATACCATGTCCCTTATACCATACTTATACCGTGTGTGTGTGTGTGGTTACTGGTTTCCTACCCTGTAGTGCTGTGGAATTTCTAGCTGATTATAGCGGTAAAGCCCCCCTCTGTTTCCCTGCTGAAGCTGGGGCTTCACCTCTAGTGGCACTGGCACCCTCTGTGCCCCCCCCACCCCCTTCTCGCAACAGGTACAGGATGCCACATCCGATGCTGAGCTATGTCTAAAGCTGAAAAGACAAAGCCTTTGGGAGGGTGACTGGGAATAGAGGATGGGGGGTAGATGGGTAGATAAATGTAAGGGGAGAGAATAAATGGGGACCGAAAATAAGATATTTATAATGTGATCATTTAAGTCCACCTGACAATAGTTGATGTGGTCAATTACTGAATAACCAGGCCTGTAGAGATGCTCTGTCATGGACTAGATAATTGTTCTCTGGCCTGCCTATTATGATTATTACAATTGCACATGACAGATCTACACTTGTGCTGCAGAGAGAACAAAGACCAAAGTGAGTCAGGTTCTGTTACAACCATGAACATCCACCTCTCAAGGCCACTTAGCGGCAAACCCACATCCAACTGACAGCCGGATGGAAAATTAGATGTTGCACCTGAGCCAAAGTGTGCACCTGCTTTGTTTTTCAAAGGAAATTGGTTTGGATTCAGATGAAATGGGAGACATTTTAAATGAAAAAGAGAAGGTTGTGGGAGTTTACTATATCATTGGTTCCATCACCCAGTTTGTCCCCCTGGTCCTTGTTGGGCTGTTCTTCAGCCAGATTTCCATGAATTTAGGATGATCATTGTCTCTAGAGAACTACCCACTGACCCAGCATCAGGTCAAAATCTGCACCCTTTTTTTCATTAAGACATATCTGTAAGTAATGGACTGATTCCCACAAAACTTCCTCAGAAGAGGACTTTTAATATTTTAATAATTACCTCCACTAAGGAGATTATGTTTGCTGTGGATATTCATGGTCCATAGAGTATTAACTCTGATACTCTATTGACTTCAGTGACTCTGTGTCCCGCACACAAAATTTAAATTTCTAAGATACTGGACAACTCAATACAGCGGCGAGGATCTTCTGAAGGATTTGTATATGACATACAGATCTTGATCTTGAAAGACATGTTGAAACAGCAAATACTACCTGTTAAATGAAGCAATTAAGTCTGTAATTCTGGCATTTTGTTCAGCTTTGTCAAGGTTCGAATGGGGGGTGACGTGAGAAGGGGAGGACCAAAACGCAGAAAGTAAATAAGGTTTAACAAAAAGTGTATTTATTTAACAAGAAGTCTACAGGAAAACAAAAGTCGCACTCAAAAAGCAGAGTGGAACACAGAACAGGGCAGGATATAAACTTACGGGGTAACGTGACGAGAGCTGACGGGACACATGAACAGACAGAACCAGAATCTCGATGACGGACAGGACCAGACCAGAAATGACGATGACGAACCAACAACCACATGGGGGAAACACAAAGACTTATATACAGACTGGA